CAGGTCCTGCAATGGATCAACTGAATCCAAATCTCAGATTCAGGCAAAGAGTCTGCTTTGTATTCCCAAGTGATTCATAATTGCTCATGTTTAAATGTTCAAGGTACTAGACTAAAATATTCTTTCAAAAGGAATTTCCATTTCTTAGACAGCTGAAAATTATCACCAGCCTAAGACCATTTCTAGAATTATTGTGGGTAGGGGGCAATGAATGTGGAAGTGCTACCAATTTTACTCCAATATATATGAAAATGTGAGGTTTTGACTAGGATTTCTCAAAGACACATCCTTTTCTTGTTTTACCTTATGCCAAACCTACTCAGGCAAAACTACATCATGGAATTGTAGCTTTTTCTTAATCACCCTTTGAAGAAGCCCCACCAGGCATCTTGGCTTTATGTAGCAATGTATCATCTGCCCTCCATCTGCTTGAGCCCAAACACATAACTTGGGGTCTATTCAAAACCCATGCTCTAGTCTCTGCCTAGTCAGTAGGATCCTCAGGGCAAATATACTCCCACGTTGCTTCCTCCTCAGAATCATGCTTCCTTGTCGTTTCTACTCAGTGCTCTGACCTTATGTTAGAAATAAAACCCAAATCAAAATGAAGTACTATAGGGCTATTTTTCCAGAATGTTTATGTGTCTAAGCCAAAGGGTATTCTTTTTTACACATTATCTGTTGGAATGTCAGAACAGCTATCTTCGTTCGGTTTTTCAAATTCCCAAGATTTTATGATGTGAGTAGTGTTAAAATGACTAGCTGTTCAGGCCGTGTACTAAACAATAATGCCTGATTCTAGCCTGGCAACTGAATCATTTCCTTTGCTCACAACTGCTGTAGAAATGGGCAGAGAGACAGAGGTAGCTTGTCAGTTACTTAATGATTGCAGCCAGAAAATTCAATACAGGCTAAGTAATAAAAACTGACTCAAAAGCACATGTTCTCTAGCAAACTAGATTCCCATGCACAGTAAGACCCACAGTAACTATTCCCATTAGTTTTAAATAAGTAGGTATCCTGTACCAGCAAGAGCTTTATATTTTTTCCTAAGGCAATAGAAAAATTATATAATTCCCCAGCAGTCAACATAAAATATTCAGTTTAAAAACAGTTAGTTCCTGTCCAGTGTGGTTATATGAGTTTTCAGAATCAGTTAGGATTTTTTTTAATAGCAAGTTGAGATATAGTCCTTCAGGGAAAGGAATGCATTGCAATTATAACCTTCAATTAACCATTTCTTATTGGTAACAATATTTTCTAGGTCCCCTGGCAAAGTAAAGCACAGCTGTCTGAATTTGTATTCTAATTCTCTCCTTTACTTTCATAAAGGAAACATTCGATGTGTGTAACAATCATACAAAACGCAGGAGAAACATGGCAAGGAAAGTCAAAGGAATGTGACTTGATGATTTAAGTTTTCTCCTTGTAGAATGTTAGAGAAATTCATGCTGCATAATTGCATTTTCGTGACATTTTGTAATGTTTAACTAGACAACTCTGTAGCCACTGCGGAAACATCTTATTAACATCAAACCATAGGAAATTGTTAATATTCGACAATTTTTGACCTTCAAACTTAGAAATGCCATATAGTTCAACCTAATATATATATATATATATATATATATATATATATAATTATTATTATTTTTTCCCAGTTAAAATTGATTCTTGTCTAGGAACTGTGCAGTTTTGATGTAATTAGCTAGAAAGTATTCTTTGGCATTATGGAACATGAAAAGGTGATATGACAGTTGTGTTAATAAGGAAGAAAAAATTTAAATCTGCCTATTTTTCTTTCAGGACCACCAACAAAACAATCCTTGGCATGCCAGAGGTGTCAGATTTTGTTAGATGCTCACTTTTAACTATGCTTGATCCTCTGTGGTTCTTTTCAGCTATGCAGCATTCTTCCGATTCATTTTTCTCCATTTGTGCTGTTGTTCTCTGTGATGTGAATCCATCCCTATCCATTCTGTCATGCCTCCATTTTTTGCTGCTGCTTCAGATTGCACTGAGCCATACGAGGTAAGCTCCATCTAAAGAGAGAAAGTTGACTTTCCTTTATCTCCAAGAAGAATCCCTTGTCCAAGGTATTTCATAATCTTGCTCCTACAACCAACACTTTCTAATCTACACTTTGAAAGGAACTTATATCAGGAATATAATTTCCCACAACATACCCACACTAAAATTCTGTGAGTGCCCTCACACATGTGAAATGAGTAGTTGTTTCTAAGTATCATCTAACTGTACAGTACAGGATTGTACTTCAACAGCTCCTTCAATTGTCTGTGTAGAAATAGACAGGAGAAATTGATGTTATTCACTGCCATCTTGACTATGAACCCCAAAGGCTGCCTTCATCCACAAGGTTCAGGAAGATTATAATAAAAGGGCAATATTTGAATTACGCTGTTATCACATCTTAATGCAGACAGTGACATTTCCAAATGTTACTGGATTTGGCAATTTACATGAATCAAATCCTCCCAATAATAACCAGAAATGTCCTCCTCAATGTTGTGCTCTATAGTTTATGAGAATTATGTTGATATTGATCTCAATTCCATTTTCAAACTTAGATTAGACTTTCCTTGGGTCAATAACTGACACTACCTGAGCTTTATCACAAGCTGATTTGAGAGCAGAGAATTGAAGTTGCTTTTTATTCAAAATACCTTGAACCTCAGGGCAAATACTCCCACTAGGCAACCAAAAGCTTCTAAGCAACCAAAGCTATTTTTCTAAAGAAGGTAAACCCATTTGCATGGGAAAGCTCACATTGCACAATTTGACTTGTTACTCAGTGATTTCTAACCCACGGGGTGCGGGCTAATAGGGGTAATAAAAAGATCTTCTACCCCATACTTTTGGGTTAAGTTTCACTCATGTTCAACCTAACGGAGCCAAGGTCCATAGAAATACTATCTCAGCAGAATTGTTTTTGCCCTCTTGTCATGAGCACTGAGTTGCTTTCTACTAGGAATGTGTCAAAATGTGACAGGCTGTGAATAAATTTGCATTACTTACCTTGCCTTCCAGACGGGCATTTGTTTTTAGAGGCAGATGTTCTAGTCTTTTCCAGACACCATCTACCATTACCTGAGATGTTTAATAAAATACATGTGTAATACTAAGACTGTAGCTATCTAGGCTGAATGTTCTAGCACAATATATTGTTAGGTTTGGTGCAGAAAGTTATTTGACCCTTCACAATCCCAAATCTTGCTATGCCTCTGACCTGCTGCCCAATTTGGGCAACAATCAAGACTAGATTCTCGATTCTCTTCAGTGCCTGTATTATGTTAATGACAGATTCACACCATTAGCATTCATCTTGCAATCTGCCTCTTCTCATAGGTTAACTTTTATGTCATGCAGTGTAATACGCTTCGTAAAATTAAGTACCTGCATAAATATATGTATTACTAGAATTCTTGAGGACTTCATTTTAATTGTAAACAGTGATAAAATGCTTAATGAGACAACTTACTTGAGTCATCCAGCATGTTTGAAATACTATGATATTCCAAACAGTGAAGGAACCAAGTCTACAGGGATGGAGAAGTGGCAAAGACAAGCTTCTTAGAGGAAGCCACTTAGCCGAATCTTCAATGTGGCAATTTGCCAGACAGAAAATTTTCAGCAAGTCAAGGAAACAACATGTGCAAAAGTCTAACACACAAATATTTGGAGACTGCAACCAATTTATAGAATTAGGTTATAAGGGGAGATGAGGCAGGCGATAAAGCGAGGTATCTCTATTTGTGTTTCCACTAAGGGTGATGAATTTTGTAATCAATTTTTAAATGGGAAAATGGTGGTGTCATTTGTTGTAGTTTTGAAAATAACATTGCATAGGATTAATATTTTATTTTTAAATAGTGACTTCCTATATGTAGTCTAAAGATTGTTACTAGGATTTATATGAGTGTATTTTAAGGCAATGTAGATACCAAAGAGGAACTAGCACAGACATGGGAACAGTGAGACCTGGACTAACCCCTGTGTCTACCCCATCTGCTTCATGGGAAGTTACACCTCACTTTAAAAAACAGTGAAATGAAGATATCTATAGATAACAGTGTTGTTATTATAATTCATAAAATTTATGTTAAAAATACTATTGCTGGAAATGAACAAAATTGTTTCAATCTGAAAACTTGTGTTTACTAAGTAGCTATAGTTTCTAGGTAACTTTGAATTGATTATAAATATTGTGGTATGTTTTTTTAATTGGCCAATCAAAACATTAATTATTGATGTGTATATTTCTCTGACCTGGTAACCTTCTGTGTATGACTTCATAGTTCTTCTCTTTTATCCCTGTTTTTCATTCTTCAGTTAAGTAACTTCCACTATGTCAAACATTTCCAATTGAAGCTATGGCTATATAACCAGAATTTGATCTGCTATTTTGATTAAAATAGGCTGGGGGAGAGGGAGGAGAGACTACTTTAACAAAATCTAGCATGTACTGAATTTTCTTCCTAGACAAAATGCATTGGAGCAGTTAATTCCTTTGGGGCATAAAAAGCCAATCATAAAAAAACAGATTGAAAAAAAAATCATTCTGTTAGTATCCTTGATTAAAATAAGAAATTAAATAATTGTTTGCTTCATAGTAAAATGTTAAGTTTAAAATAGCTTCATTTTTTGGAAACTTCTTATCAAAGCTATTTACTCTCATGTAAATCCCAGCTGACTCATAAATTTGTAAAGATAAATCATGATGTTACTGGAGATTCTTCAGAAGGAAATAACCTAAACACAGAAAGCTCCTTAAAATGTGTAACTCTGCAATATCCATTTCTGCTGAAGCAGTTCCATTTTCCAGATTCCCCATGCTGTGTCCGCCTCATTGACACTACGTGGGAAATGTGGCTAACCCCATCGAGACAGTCTGCCATAACTAAGAGGGATAGTAGCTCCCTTTAAGGCTGATCCATTGCTCACGAAGCCCGCATTGTTCTCTTCTTGACAACCCCACTCAGGAAGCGCCTGTGGTGGCGCGAGCAGCCCTGTTCCTGGAATGTGCCCGTTTTGTCCACCGCTGCAATCGTGGCAACTGGCCGGAGTGGATGAAAGGGCATCACGTGAACATCACCAAGAAAGGTCTGTCCAGGGGACGGTCACCCATTGTGGGCAACAAGCGGAACCAGAAGCTGCAGTGGAACGCAGCCAAGCTCTTCTACCAGTGGGGAGACGTGAGCCTCGATTTTCTTCCGTAAAAATTATGGTGCTTAAGTGAAGTGAAGAGTGTGTTGTTTGTGTGTGTTTGTTTGAATAGCCATTTATTGAGGAGCTGTTATGTCCCGGGTGCCACACAAAACATTTTAGAGGAAAATGAACAATTCATTTTAAACCTCCTAATAAATCTCTGCAGGTTGACATTGTCTCTAGGGTTAAGAAAACTGAAGTTTGTATGGGTCAAGCAACTTGCCGAAGTTGCCATTCCGAGTGAGTACAAGGGACCAAGTTTCTCTCTCCAGAGTTGGATTCCAAAACTTTGCTTTTAATAACTATATTTATTTATTATATGTAACTGGATGTGTTCATCAAAATCAACTCTGAGAACCATTGCTATGAAACACAGCCTTGTTTTGACTTTCTAATTTATATTTTCTGTGATCTTTATTTTTTTTTAATTTCTGAATAGCTGCCTGAAACCTTTGGAAAAGAATATGTATGACTTTGATTATATTCTTTTGTAGGTCCTGCATCTTTTGTAGTATATTTATATTCTTTTTCCATGTATATATATTTACATAGCCTTAATTTATTTTCTTTTGTATCTACCTTTTATAATATATATCTTCTTTATAGTTCCTCCAATTTGTGGAGGTTTAAGGGAAAAATGGGTTGGCATCGAACTGGTTAAGTATTCCAAACTACAGGAATGTGTCAATTGCCTTTTGTTACTCACTGCATTTGAGGTGGTTCCACTGTTGCAGCAAGCCACCGCTGATCCCAATGACATCCACCAAAAAGTCAAAAACATTGATTAAATGCTAAGTGTTAGAGCCGTATAAGAAGGATTTTGAGATGTTACAAAAATCTTCAGAACTCCTGTCTACTGACTGCTACATTCCTGCCTTGCTCCCATACAAGTTTTCTCTGGGCTTCCCGAGCTGGAGCTCTGTTTCCTTGCTTGGCCCTCAGGTGCCTCCTCCCTATCAATATAGCCTTCCCAGGCTCTCTTATCGCTCCTTCCCACAGAATTTCTCCCCGTTACATTGGTTACTAGTTTTCCACTGAGCCCCCTCTGCTGGTGGCCCTGATCCTCTCTTCATTAGGCTTTTCAGATCACAGGCTCCCTTTGCGAACTGCACTTGGAAGGCAATCCGACCTTCTCCCCCGCCCCCGCCCTCCCCCACCCCGCATAAACTCACCACCATCAGCAACACCTGCTGAAATTTCTATTCATATTTTTGATACTACCTGTATCTGAGATGACAGCCTGTGAGCATTTTTCCAAATCTTCGCTGCTGATTCTGTCTCTTCCCTGCCGCTGTTGCCCCTTTAGATCAGATCTGTATTCTAGTTTGTGGATGACTAAAGCATTTTCCTATTTGGTCTCCTCCCCACAACCTCCACGTATCTGACCCATCCTACACTTTGCCATTAAATCCATCTTCTAATGCATAGCCCATTAAAGCAGAACTTGTTACCAGCCTCCAGACTTGCCCCCTCCAACTCATCCCCAAACTACTCTCAGTGATTAAGCTAAAATGCCAATCAGATTGTATTTCTTAACCACTTTCTAATGCATCAGTGATTCTCATTTTCCCTGGGGATAAAACCCAAATTGCTTAGCCTGGTCTCACCTTCAATCCACAACCCTTATTCAAGCCTCACCAAGATTATGGAAGATGCGGTCAAATGAGCTAATGTCTCTAAGGAACATTTTCCCCATCCTTTGTACTTAAGAAGTATTAAATAATGAGTTATCACATCAGTTTTTTAAAGCAGTTGCATGATTTGCCTGCGCCTTCTTAGGCATCTAGCCCAGTGCATGTGGAATGAGGGATCAGGCTACACCCCACTCAGAAGCTACCTGTAATCCTTTAGAGTGCAAAATGAAGTTGAGCTTCAAGACCCCTAAGACCTACCCCCTACCTTTCCAGCCCTCCTGTTCGTCTGTCTCTGAACACATCCATTCATTCCCCTGACTGTGAGTCTTTTGAATCTCTCTACCCTACCCCATTCCCAAAATGTATAGTAAGGAGACTTTCTGTGATTCTGTGCACTAAATATCAGCTCCCAGCTTCTGAGCTAATAACATGCTTTCCATCTTTTTCTTCATTTATGTATTGATTTTGGTATGGTTGGTTTGGTTTGGCATGTTACCCACTTCCCCTGTCTCCCAAAATAGATAGCTCACTGAGGAAAGAGCAAAGGGGTAGTCAGACACTCTATTTTAATCCCAGTCTTCAGTTTGCTGGGTGACTTTGGCAAATCTTCCAACCTCTCTCATTTCCCTAACTGCCCAACAATGAGTCTTCTATAGGAAGAGTTATGATGTACCCTAGTTTTTTAAACAAAGGTACTTGAACAATTTAATTTTATGCTTTGTTTAATATGTAAGAAATTACCTCACTTAATAAATATTTGATGAGTGAAGAAAAGAATAGACATAAGGCATCTTTCTAGCCTTGGAGAAGACATAGAAGTCTAAATTGTTGTTTAGACATCTAGTATTTTCCTCGACAAATCCATTTTTTGAGCAGCACTTAAAGTTTTATGAACTGTATATTTCTAAATAAATTGCTTTCTCTCCACATCCAGGAAGGATTAATGTAGATTTCCACCCCACCCCTCCTTGAGTCTCACTATTAAGCTTGTTGGCCCAGACCTGTATTTACAGACTTTCTCCTTTAGAGATAATCTACAATAAGTAGCATCAGGGTTTTGTTGAAGTGGCATTTTTGTTTTCAAATTCTGTTTGCTGAAAACTTCTCACTAAAATACAATGATCCTGCAATATCTTTTTATACTGTTTTCTCATTGATTTAGTTTTTATTTTCTGGTTTTTAATCCCAAAGTTTAAGGAGATCTCTTTGTTTCCAGATCTCCAAGATATTTAAGTGACTTGTATTTTTATTTAACAGGTCCTGGGCATATCTTTCTATATGTATTCCCAGCAATTTGTCTAATGTCTTGCATGGCCAGAAGTTAACATTTTCCCCTACAAATTTAGAAAGCTCTATATAGGAAGAAAGAAGTCTAGCGAGAGTGTTATTCTTCCTAATGTGCATCTAACCACACCATGCACCCCCAAGTTCGGTGCTCATTTTAGCTTTATCCCTGATTTCTTTTCCTAAGCACATATGCTTTCTTTCAAGGAAATAAAAAAAGGTGGTTTGTTTTGTCTATTCTTCTGTAAAAATCCTTTTGGTAAATCAGCCTATAATGCATGATTCTGAATAGTTAGCAAGTATGGTTCTATGAATACCTTATAAACACTTAGTATCCATGTACAGAGTTATTAAAAGTTATATTTCTAATGTTGATGTTGTGTATGCTAATGAAAGAATAGTAGCATTTCCTATTAATTCATAGAGTAATGTGGAGGGGGAAACAATCTATTAAAAACTAATAAGTGCGTCATGGTAGATACAAATTTATAGTGCAAGAATTTTGCCAACCCACAAACCCATTCGCCTGACTGTAATGCTCTCATTGAATAGCATAATCAGAAGCACTCTGAGGAGCTGTGACTCTTTTTATTTACTTCAACGCAATTGTCTATAGAGAAAAAAAAAAGCATACTTCCTTAGGTGAGACCTATAAAATTACCTTAGAATAAATGGAAATATTTTCAGAAAAAAAAAGTAGTTGGATAACAATATAAAAGGAATCATTCTATTATTTAGAGGTTTTAAATAACCTAGGAGACAGCATCAATACCTTCCAATTCTGGGTTCCAACATAGGGAAAATTAACAGTTACAGCACTATGGTGTATGAAAGTAGCGTACCGAGAGAATTCCCATGAATGGTCTGCTACATCTGCTGTGATGTGAGAGCATATTGTACAGTCTGACATACTTTGTGCTGTTTCTTTTTCTCCACATGGTAGGCAATTGGAGTCCGATTGAATGAGTTGTGTCATGGAGAAAGTGAGAGCCCAGCCAACCTTCTGGGTCTGATTTATGATGAAGAGACCAAGAGGAGACTGAGAAAGGAGGATGAGGAGGAAGACTTTTTAGATGACAGTAAGGAGACTCCCTTTACTACAAGAACCCCTGCTTGTAAGAACCTCTGCTTTAGGAGCACTTAATATTTCTCTTTCTTCTTTCATATTCTTACCACCTTCCCATGTCTCCCCACGGCACCTTTTCTCCTATTCCCTGTGCATGGAGCCAAGCATGTGCAGAAAACCACATAAAGAAGGGCCAGACCAGAGAGATAGGTCTGTATAGAAGGGGCATAGGGTGGCAGGCAACATAGAACATCCACTACTTGATCGTTTCTGTTTCTTACTGTTGACCATGCAAAGTGGAGTATTAGGCCTGTGGAAAAAAACAGCTGTGGAAAATTAGAGGTCCCAAAAGAGGTTTGGATTGTTTTTATTTTGCTATTGCTCTTGGAGATTAAAAAAAATAAGTTAGACCAAATAGAATTGAACATAAAATGTTCCTTCAATCACTAAAACATTGAAATACTTAATCAGAGTAATTATAGTAAATGACGTGAATTAAAAATATTAAGAGATTATGATTGTTAGCGCTGTGAGTAGTTGTGATACTGTACTTACTAAAATTATAATTGAGCTCTTTCATGGAAGAATAGACGCAGAGTCCTGTGCATATCCTCCCAATACCATTCTGTATGTATGCTTGTTCTGTCCCATACAGACCTGTGTGTTTGTTTATCACTGCCTTTTATGGAGTGTAAAATTCTAGTGTGATTATGGACTTGGTGTCCTCTGGTGAAGAAAGTGAGGCCTCTTTCTCTTGCCTTCCCTTCATGAAAGTCCCTCATTAAAACTTAATGATTGTCCTTAATTAGGTGATTCCAGCCCTCTTTGTCCATTGTAGTAGTGAAATGCCAACATAAGTATGGACAAAATCAAAGAAAAATTATTGCCTTCCTTTCTACTTTCATAGCAAAGTTTTTTCTCAGTTTTTTTCATCATTTTGCCCTTTCTCAGACCTTATCAAATCTCTTTAACTGAGCTGTTGACAAGACATAAAATTTTGACATTATTCTTTTATACTAGTGAAAGCTGGCCCTAAAGATTCCTTCATGTTCACAGAGATAAAAACTATCCTAGATGGGCCCTCCCTGGTGGCGCAGCGGGTTAAAGCACAGCACTGAGAATCTAAAGCCGCTTCCTCATGAGTTCGATTCCCACCTGCCCCGGAGGTGACCACATGGCGTGGCAGACCTCTCCTGGCCCGCCCGCTGCTCCCCTCAGCAGTGTATTTCGTTGATCTGCCTGTTCTGCACTCCACTCTGACTCTGGTGAATTCTCTCACCCTCCACATCTTTGGCCTGTATCCCAGTTCTGTATGCACAAATAAAATAAAATCTTTAAAAAAAAAAAAAAAAACTATCCTAGATGGTTCATGGAGTTAAGACTTATTGATAGGAGAGCTTGAGGGTGCAATGTCAGAACCTAGTAAAGACCTACCAGAAGATAACCCCCAAATTACCCTGGATAAGCTAGGGATCCTTCAGAACAGAGATGAACTAAAGCAACTTTATGTTCTTCATAGTCCAAAATGAACTCTAATTTCCATGGGGCAATGTAAGTATCACTTATCAATATTTTATGGTTAATATATTAGTTTTACTTTATGAGGTTATGTGGAACTAAATCTCATTCACTGTAACAGAATACTTATGAAAATCCAGGACTTAGACCCAAAATTTGCTGTTCCAACACTGATAGGAACCTGAATGACAACTTCACAAGTGAAATGATAGATTCATAAGTTTATACTGAGTATCTGCAATTCAATTACTTTTTTTTAAAGATTTATTTTTGTTTAGTTATACCAAGGCAATTTCTGGAGCCCTGAAGCTTCCTTTAAATATAAGGTTAAACTGTCTGGATTAGTTCCACTTGCAAGTCAATACATAGATCATCTTGCATTTATAAGACAATGTAATGGTGTGATGCAACATTATTTCAATTAAAAATTCACTGAATAAAAAGGATATTGTGTCACAAGTATCAGTTTGGAAAATCTAGAGGAATTTGTTTCTCCCATGTAAGAGAAAATGTCCTTAGCCATGTATCAGCACCGGGGAAAAAAATAAAGGTTTTCATGAGGGTGTGATAACAAGACATCTTCAGAAAAACAAAATTTTTACTTACTGTCAAGATTAGCCTTTCAATTAGGAAAGACTAATACATAAGAAATATTTTAGAGATTTTTAAAAGAAAGTTTATGGACTCTTTAGAAATGTTACCATGATTGTTTATTGATTTGATTTACTCAAAATAGGTGACTATCTTTCTTTTATGAGAGACAACTTTATATTACTTGGCTCAAGTTTTCTGAATACTATATTTCTACATGATTTGAAACTCAATTCTGAAACTATGAAGTCTTTATGATCTCAGCTTGGGAAGTAACTATCTTTAGAGAAAAATTCATTACTTGTTCTATGATAGATGAATATTTTATGCATTCAAAGACTTGTATTCTTCAGTGCAAAGGAAAATATTTCCATACTTCTCGTGTAGCTATACCTTAGTATGGCATACTATTTTTTGTAAATTGTATGATACAGGTGATCAAATATGTCCAAGTATGTCTCAGCTGCAGAATCACATGTTCAGTAGAAATGAAACATTTTCACTGGCCTCAGAACATCAGGATAGATGTTCATAAAATGAACAGGATTTTTGTTTTAAATCTAATTCAATGCCGTGTACATAGACTAAATCTTATTGAATAGTGATGTGAAATCTTGCAAGACTTCTCTTAGATTTCTGTTGCCATTAAAAGGCTTTCTAGTTTAGTGAAGCTGCATTCTTTTTCTTTGGATACTGCAAGAAGAATAATTCAGTTCTCACTGACTGACATTTTAATACTGTGGCACTCAGATAAAACTGCAAAAGGAAGGAAGAGAGACATGTGTGGTACTGCAAAGATTACACTAAAAGGAACAGGTCAGTTAAACACTCCTAGATCCCATTTTCATGCAATTTCATCCTAGACATGTATAGGTAATATTCTCATGTACAATTTGATTTTACACATGTGTAGCAATGTCCATCACACTGTGCCTTTTTGTTACATTTTTTATTGGTTTGTTTACTTATGAAAAACCTCTCATTCTGTAGGTACAGTGAACCCTTCCAAATGTGGCTGCCCCTTTGCTTTGAAGATGGCAGCATGCCAACTTCTCCTGGAGATTACCACCTTCCTGAGAGAGACCTTCTCTTGCCTGCCCAGACCACGCACCGAACCTCTGGTGGTAAGTAAAGCCCGGGTATTAACAATCAGATTGCCAGAAGGGGTCAATGTCTGGTTGGGTTCTGAGTTCACAATTTCTTCAAAGCCCAATGACCAAATGCATCATACAATTAAAAAAAAAATCAACCAAAGAATTTCCTTTATAAAAAGAATATCATGGGGCCCTCCCTGCTGGTGCAGCAGGTTAAAGCACAGCACTGAGAAGCTAAAGCCACTTCCGCATGAGTTCGATTCCCACCTGCCCGGAAGGAGACCACATGGTGTGGCAGACCTCTCCTGACCCGCCTGCTGTTCCCCTCAGCAGTGTACTTCATCGATCTGCCTGTTCTGCTCCCCACTCTGTCTCTGGTGAAGTCTCTCGCTGCCCCTGCACCTCTGGTCTCTACCCCAGTTCTGTATGCATAAATAAATAAATCTTTAAAAAAAAAAGAATATCACTTTTCTCTATTATAAAATCCCAAATCTGACCTTCAAATCACTAACAATAGCACCACTGGGTAAAATGGCAGATCACTGTGAGCTGTAGGAATGACCAAGAGCTCTGGGGTTCTTGTCACTACAGACTATGAGGCTTTTATGGACAGCTTCCCCAGAGATCTCTAATACATTTTTTTTCTAACTGCTGGTATATTCATACTGAAAAGTGCTTCTTAAGAGTTTTCTTATTTATATTATGGGCAAAAGATTTAGGTGTTTGGCATGGTCAGGTACCCAAATATATTTTATTCCTAATTCCTTATGGCTGTGGGCAGGCAGAAAAAGACCATGCATGCATGTACACGCATGCACTTTCATGTCCAGTCGGGGTTGGATTTCACAGGGTTACAGACCACATGTCAGGAGACCACACAGAGCAGACGGGGAAGCAATGGCACTCAGAACCGGTTTCTTTGGTACTTCTTTCCTTGGTGGATACAAGTTTCCAGTAGTTATCCCACCCCCTTTTTTCAAGATTTTATTTATTTATACATACAGAAATGGGGTACAGGTCAGAGGCATAGGGTCGGTGAGAGGATTCACCAGAAACAGAGTGGGGAGCAGAACAGGCAAACTGTGGAAGTACACAGCTGAGGGGAGCAGCAGGTGAGAAAGGAGAGGTCTGTGGTGCCAGTGGATCGCCTCCGGGGTGGGAATCGAACTCGCATTGAAGCAGCCTCGGCTTGGCTTAGCTTCATAGTGCAGTGCTCCAACCTGCTAGGCCATCAGGGAGGGCCAAGTAGTTATTTCTTCATAGGCATTGTCCAGTTGGAGCTGAGGAACCACACAAATTGTTTTTTCCTGAAGGATTATGTACATTACAAGAAAATTGCTACACTACCAGTGTCTGTTTAAACTCTTTTTGCAACTCATCATCTCCCTTGCTCTTTAAACCAATCTGAGCCCAGACAAGACCACACCCCAGTCCTGAAACTAATCTGAGCCCAGGCAAGACCACACACCCCAGTCCTGGGAGGGCACAAGATGAAGCACCCCAGGGTCCCTAAGCTCTGCCTTTTCCTCTGGCTTTCCAGTGTCTGTATTCCAGTGCCCCAGAGCTTAAAGTGGGTATCTTCAAGTTGGAAACATTTATGGATAAAATACATGTTTTCAAGAGAAACAGACCCACACTTGTATGTGAAAGGTCACTGTTTGGATATTGGAAAGGGACGTTCGTCTGATTTTCCTTACTTTAATATATTAAGAAGGACGTTTCATTTTCTGGACTATTACCTTCAGTATTTTGTTAAGACTATTCTGTGAAATCGAATCAAGGCCACCACTCAACATGTATTTGAAGTTAAGTGTGATAAAATGTCTCCTCTCTAGACCTCTGTCAGTGGCGTTCTATCAGAATTTGCATTATACTTTATAATGCAAGTCTTCATAAAAGCACAGAAGTGCATGTACTTTTAAGTTTTCAGATTTTTGTAGGCCATTTTGATACATTGGAATTTAAAAAATAAGAATCATAAAGCTTTACTAAGCTATTTTTGTTCTTCCTTAAAATGTTGTAGGGCTTTTAATTTATATTCTTGTAACAAATTTTCATTTTTAATCAGTTACGCTTATTTACA